CGCTGCTTGAGGTGTTAAATACGCCTTGAATTCGCCTTGGATTACAGATGATGTGGCGAGCAGTGACTACAGCGAATTTTCACATATTTTATTTCGAAATTTTGTCGATTTTATAGAAGAAAGTAAAAAGATTTTATTCGCACGCTATATATTAAGGTGATGCGGGATTAATACGTATCAATAATTGCGGAAAACATAAAAAGAGCGTTTACACGGGGAACAATGCAAAATGTTTGGCTGGCAGAACTCTCCGACAATGAAATCTGCGCTCGTGTTATTGGGTATCTGCTACGTTTTCTTGCCTGAGACTTGTTCGGCAGAGGGTCTTTCTGATTTGAGGCTTTGTGCTGATCCAGAATGTCATGGTACGATTATTGCATTAAAACAAAAAACAAAAAAAATAATAAAAATTATGTACACATTATATTGCAGATATCATATCGCTGGGTAGTGGAAAGATTAATTATTCCGCGGGTGAAAAGGGAATAGTGTCTTTTAAAATGCATTCAAAAATACGCGTAAAGTCAAAGAGTGCTGGTAAAAACAAAAAACTATGGGGTATTGAAGTGAATGGACGTGAAGGTTACGCCCCGAAGGAATTTATTTTAGAAGAAAAGGTGTTGGTGAAAGAAAGTGATTTGAAATATATTGTACCAGTTACAATACCTGGTTCCAAAAAAACAATGTCCACTGTATCGCCATCACCAACTGTAGACCTCAAACCATCAGAGAAATTATATTTGCCGAAGGATGAGGTGGAAATAAGTACTACGGCACCATTAAATCAGCCATTAAATGAAGAAAAACTTATATCAGTTAATGAGTCGGATTCTAGCATAAGTAAAGTGGAAATATCGTATTCAACGCCAGTTCAACCCTCAGTAGAACTAGTCGACGGTACAACAATTCCGGTGTTAGAAGATGTAATCGCAAATGCCACAAATTTGCCAAGCACCAGCGACGAAGACACTTTAACACAGGAACTTTTACTCCTAAACGAAACTACAAACAGAAAAAACGAAAATGCAGTGGCCGACACAGAGCAGATAACATCAAAACAATTAGTTGAACCGGTAAACCAAAAAAATTTCCCAAAAAAGCATGAAGCTGAAGGTTTGAAGATCAAACCTTTGGACAAGCCTTCCGATGCTGATGGTAATGATGAAAATAAGGACGATGAAGAAGATGACGACGACGAAAAAGAAGGTGATGATGAGAAGGACGACAATCAGATGACAAGTGACGATTTTAATCAACTTGAAAACAAAATCGAGTCGCCGATAATAGAAGAAGATAAAATGATAAGTTCCTCAGAAGCTAATGAAGTAAATATTATTAGTTCTAACAACAGAGAAACACCATTGGGGCACAAATTGGATGAAAATTCTTCAGACAACAATAACAAAGAAAATTCATTACCCGAAGACATAGTTCAGGCCAGTACAGAAATTCCACTTTCCCCACCCAATAACGAAACTGATGAAAAAGGGTTGCAAACTAATGAAAGGGAAAGTAGTTCTGCAAGTAATATCAAAGAAACGGAGGATTTGCCACGAGATGTCAAGACCAATCCCGAAAATAACGTTGAACAGCTGCCGAAACATAAAATAAATGAAATTTCGAACGAAATCATTGAAGTCAATGCTGGAGCTACAACTGAGGCTTCAGGTACCGACACCAATTACCTGAATCATGGTTATCCGAGCGAAGAATCATTTGATTCAACAACTTTACCCACAGTATTATTGCCACATGCGCAGTCACCTGAAACGCAAGTTTCGGGTGCACCTGAAACGTTGGCAATAAACAATTTAAAAGTGGATTTGGCTGATATAAACGAAGAAGTTTTAGAAACAGTTCCTCACGAATTTAGCAAAGTTCCTAAAACAACACCAGAAAATATTTCAGAAAAGAAAGTGTCGATGAATTCAATTCGTTCTAATAATACAACGCAGTCATCTATAACACAGTCATCAGAGGTAGCATCTGAAGAGAAAGACGATGGAAAAATATCTGGTAGTGAGCAAATTATTCCTACCTTACCATTGTTCCAAACGCCTATGCAGAATGGGCACTTAAATCAACATCAGCAACAATATCATCACGACCCGTATCAACATATGCAAAAACACCAACATTCAAATACGCAACCACAGGACCATACACAGCAAAATGGTATAACTGAAGCATCACAATTAACCATAACCGAAAAGACTGAGGTGAAGACTGAGGCATCGCCAATTCAACACTCGGATAGCAACGACCTACCACACGCATTGATTCCTAACGAGGCAGTTGAGAAATACCAGTCACAAACTGTGGATTATTCAGATGCACTAGTAAGCGAGGAGACCCAATCAGACAAATATGAAGATCCGATGTTCGCAACAAACGATGGAGATATTCAAAACGACAACGATGTTGGCGTTGGCTCAGTACAGAAAATAACATCTCATTCAACATCTGCACCCCCAGTTGTTGAATCTATCCCAGCGACACCTCGTCCGGATGTGGAGATAAAAGAGAGAGAGCAAGGGCTGTTTGCTACGATAGTAGGAACTGTCAACACTTTCTTGTCGAATGACAAAAAAGGCGACATGAGTGTGGAGGATGATGAGCTTCAACGTATACTATTCCCAGAACGGCTTGCAAGCAGTAAGAAAGCAAAAGAGAGTGGTAAGTTTTGAAGTTGACGTTTTATCATTTGTTAACATTAAATTACCGAAGATGGCGAGTATTGTGAAAAGCTTACACCAAACGATTGCCCTTCACATGTAATTCGAGAATTACACAATGTGGCAGAGTCATCTTCAATATCTGGCTGCCAACTGGATTGGCGTAATATGTCAATGGACATGCTGCTGACAGTGGCTGGCAATAAAATGCTTGAAATGAAAGAGCTGTTGGTCTGCTTAGCGACGGTGGCGGTTACGTGTCTATTCTTTTTGTTTGTTTATTACTGCTTCTGTAATAGCAGCCGGGAAGGAGAATTGCTAGCAAAGTTAAATGCATTGGAACGGAGTTTGTTAGCTACACACAAAGAAAATGCAATACTAAAAGAAGATTTGATGGGCACACGAAATAAACTATCAAGTATTGAAGATAATTCCTTTGGCTCAAACGACATGGTGATTGCACTCAAGAAGGAGTTGGAGGAGGAGCTCTTGCAGAAACGGCAATTGCTCGAACAAGTGGGAAACTTAGAAAAAGTATGTGAAAATTTTGGAATTTAATTATTCACTACTCCACGTTTTATTAATTTTTAATAAGGAATTGGAAAATGCCGCAGAAGCTGGACTGGAATTAAATAAAATTGTTTCAGAGTTATTAAGCAATCAAACTGGCGATGAATCCATTATAAGTAGCGTAGAAGAATTGCAAAAGCAACTAAATGAACAGCAAAGTAAGGAATACCACCCGATTTAACTATATATAAATAAGTATTAACCGAAAATGTATATCTTATCCTGTTATATAGAAACAATTCTGGATATAAACGCCAATTTAGCTGAGAAGAGTAGAGAAAATAGCGAGTTGCAGCTTATGATTGCCGAACAAAATGCTCGTCTTAGTGGTGAGATTGCATCGCTGCAACAAGATAACGACGAACTGGAAGTGGAAAAAAGTAATTTACAAACCCGTCTGGAGGAGGTGAAGCGAGAATTCGAGGAAGACATAACTAAGGCACTTGAAAGCAAAAATTTCGAGATAAAACGGTTGCAAAGCGAATTGGTAGAATTGAGCAATAAGCTTGAAACAGAATATACGAGGTATCAAACAAGCTTGGCGAAAGTGGAGGTAAAAATTCTACCTATAAAGCAGGAACTGGAGAAGGTATTCGTTTTTTTAATATATGTTTCTCTAAGGCTTTGCAGGAGTGTCTGCGAACTGTGCGTAGAGATCCCAATGTGAACATAACAAAAGTTATTGATGTGGCTAATGTGCGCGCTGAATTGATAGACATGCAAAAGAGGTACGATACACTAAAAGAACGATTGGATACGGAAATGGTAAAGTAAAACAATAAATATAAATTTCAATGCAGTAATTTGTTTTCGAAATAGGATGGAAAAAAGCTGGCTGAGGAACAGTTACTGCTTGCGAGCAGTGAAAACGAAAAGATTAAACATGAATTTCATCAATCGGAGAAGGATAAACTGGAGGCCCAAACCCGTCTAGAAGTGCTGTCCACTTATTTCAAAGAGAAGGAGACGCAGTTGCAAAAGTAGGCTCAAATTTGTCACAATATAACAGTTGCAAAATTTTTTTTTCTGTCGCAGAGAACTAAGTCTGAAAGAAGCTATGTGGCTGAAGCAACAAGGCGAAACCACCAGTACCGTGGATCGTCTCACTACAATGCAAGAGGAAATTCAGGCATTGAAGTCCGTATACGTTTCTTGAAACTTTTATTAAAAAAAAAAAACATTTGCATTTACGCTTTTAACTGCAATTCTAGATCTCAAAACGATGCTCTCCGCGCAGAAATTGAAGCCCAACTGGCAGCACACAAAGCGCAAACTGGCACATTAGAAAATCGCGCTCATGAAACATGGTTGGCAGCGCGACAATCAGAACGTCGTTATGAAGAAGCCCGCGCCGAAGCTACAGCGTTGCGTCGGAAGCTCACAGCATTGGCGGGTGTTGGTGGTGGTGCAACGGGTGAAGCAAATTGTAAGTTTTGGAATGCATATTAATACTTCTTATAATAAACCTTCGTCCTTTTCTTGTTCTAGTTGAGAAATTGGCGGGCCCTGAGTTGAATAATGCTCCTTCACCTATACACATGGAATCACCCGGTTCACCGTTGTTAGGGCGCTTGCCACCACCACCGTTCCTGCCACCGCCATTCATGGGACCACCACCACCGTTTATGGCTATGCCTCCACCGTTTGTGCCACCCGGTGAAATGCGTCCACCGCCATTGGGACGCTTGATGTCACCACCACCGGGCGCTGGCAGTGGCGGCAGTGGTGGTAGTGGACGTTTACTATCACGACGTGGAGGTCGTTATTCACCCAATCGCAGTGGTTATGAAGACTACGATGATGACGAGGATGAGGATGACTACGCAGATGACGACGAGGAGGAAGATGATTTAGAGGATGAAGATGAAGAGGAACGTCTGCGTCAACGCCGCCGTCGTCGTGGAAGCGATGTAAATGGAAGTTGGCATCGTGACGATTCATATTCACCGCCACCGCGTGCCTATCGCTCGCAATCGCCAACAGATAGCCGATACAATTACACCACTGAACGTGGTCTGATGTCGACATACGATACCGAAACCGATTTCGAACCATCACCGAGAAAACCCGAACGTCGTGGTGTACGTGTCCCACGAACGGACAGCTACCGAGACTATTCACCACCACCAAGTGCCTCGTCACCTTTGAATGTGTCCTCCAATAGCAATACGGGCAAGAAACATCCGTCGTCAGCATTTAGCAAAGGTAAGAGTGTAAATGAGTTCGATTGCTAGTTGTTGTATATAGGTATTTATGGAACGGGGAATGTGATTTGAATTCATGTGCTGTTTAAATTAGTAAAAATTGAAATTCATTACGTATATGATGGGGAAAATCCTCGCATCTCCGATTTACTAAAAGGCCGTCACAAGTCAAAAACCAGCATTTTTGATATAGTAATGCAGAATTTCCTCGTCGGCACGGTGGCGGCATACATTCGAATTGCAGTTTTAGGGAGCTGCTATAAATAGCACTATTTTACAACAAAATGTAAATATTTAAAATTTTGTTCACTGAACACGAATATGTGCTGGACGATTATAACGCCAAGGAAGGCTTTTTTGGTCCAACAGTAGGAAAATTCAGCCTTCATGAAAGCACCTCCGACAACGACGATAGTTAGTAGTACCAGACACCAGTAGCGAAACATCCACAAAGTCACCTGGAGGATGGCCCCTTATCAAAGAAAGAAGAACCAAATAGATCTTGTTGTTGCAACCAAGGTCCGCATGCGCCTCTGTGCAATGTAGAACGTGCGTCAGGAAACATGGCGAAAGGTCGACATCGAGAAGCTGCATTTACAGCAGACAGCCGAGAAAATTTCGCAATTGATTCTCAATACAGCTTAAAGAAGAGGTGGTTGGATACTACCGCCCACGCAGGAACAGCTGGTGCGACGAAGAATGCCGTGCGGCTGCTGCAGAGAAATACACGGGTGGGCAAGGACGAGGCGACCTTTTCTTGTCGGTCCAAACAGGAATTTCGATAAACTGTTGTTGGGTAGCTCGTTTCCAATGGGATGTTGATAATAATGAGGTTGACTTACGTCTGATGATTTTGGGATTACCGGTGTACGGTGGTCTAACTGCTGCCAAATGAATAGACCAGAATTTATATCCACTTAGACTCTTTATTTCCACAGGTAACAACTTGGTTGGGGATTTGCCGGAAGGAATGTGGTGGAACAATGCCGATAAGTATATTCCCCAGGTATACGCACTCTGAGAATTGACTTTAACCAAACCAATGTCGTCAGCTTTAATAAATTGCTTGGTTAGGATTACTTTCGTTCTTACGAGGGCTGATGTGTGTTGTCCGGTCCGTGTCCAATTCCAAAAAGGAAAAATATTTTTCTAGCCTCGTGGTATGTGACCACTGATTCTTTTATCGTATGTCAGTGTTGGCGTTTTCATAGTGGCCATGCCAATTCGTGTCTATACCGATGTGATGGTTCGTGTCTTGAATAACTATTGGTTATACCATGTTCTGACCGACATCGAAAACATGTTTTCCTTGCTAAAACTGGTTTTCGACTTAAAACTTGTGTTTTCGCCCATGTAAAATCTGTCAAACGAAAACCAGTTTTCGCTGAAAACTATTTGAAAACTCACGATCCACTCATTCCAATCGGTGTCGTCACTAGTTTTTTTCGATTATTTATCGAAGTGGAAGTCATATTTTATCATCTTTAATACGCCATTTCGGATTTATTGTTAATTGGCTGGCAAAAGTAAAATAAGAACGAAAGTAAGAGGTTGCTAATGAAAAGAAAATGAGGGAAAAGCATTTTGGTTTTGTTTTTGTGTAGCAAAACTGTAATCAGAGGATGTAAGAAATGTCAACGAAAACACTAACAGCCGGTGTGAGCAGCCTTCAGCCCACAGTCCCAAAACACGTTTTCAAAGTGTTTTCGTTGTCGGTCAGAACATGGTATTACGTACATTCATCTGGCAATTCCCCCCATTTTGAAGTTTAGCTTTGACAGTTTTGTCATGTTTACATTTCTCATAATCGTTCTGTCTATTATTTGGCCAATAAAAATAATAGGTCATTATCCTCCTCTCATCTTCATCGACACGTTAACAAAAAATGTGGAGCGTTTAGTAGGGATATGAGAATGGTGGTTCGAGAGCGATTCACGGGCTGTGGTTTGATGGACGTTAGACCTTACATCGAAATCGTTCTACATGATCTTATCAACCCCATCCTTACTCGTTCAGTTCGCCTTTGAGCGCATAAGCTACGGTAGATGAAAGGCATTGGTAAATGATTTGGTTATGAATCTTTTCTTGTTTGCTTTGATCGATTTACTAGCAATGTACTGAGGATATAATATAACAAAACTATGGATATAAAAAACTAAACTTAATTACTTTATTCAGTAATTCATTCCATTTACAAACGTAATTACCCTGCAAGACCAGTGACTATCATTTGACAAATCATTTGAGTGGCAAGACTGATAGAGATTTCTGTCACTGGCTCCTACAAGTTTCTATCAAATTCTAAAGCGCAGTGTGAAAAATCCGATGGAAACATTTGTGTTCCGTCTTTCTCCGACTTATGGCATTATTTAGTTGTCTCTTTTTTAACCAACGCAAAGTTTGTAAATGTGTTAGTAAGGTAAATGAGAATGTGTTAGTTTCCATCACACAATTCTTGTAGGGTATTATTTCAATATGGCAGAATAATATTCATCGAAATCTCAGTATATCCAGTAAACAAACTTAGCTATTTTTTTTTACCAAGTTTGGTCCCCATAAAGGACTAGTGTTGCAAGCAACGCTTTTTCGGCAATTAGGGTGTTGTGCAGCTATTTAATGTGGTGAAAATTATTTAAGCACTGGAGAGATTTATTCACATGGAATTGGAGATAGGGCTGATAGATTTATTTTAAATAAATTGTGAATCTGCGAAAATATCTTTTCAGCAGATGAATATACTTTTTAACCTTTTTCCCGAAAATTTACATACAGGCTCGAAAATATGCGAGTAACATTAGGTTTGTATAGTAACTTCTCCAGTAAAACATTGCAGCGAGAGCGTAAAATTGAGAAGAAGAGAAAACTAGCAGAAGAGGTTATTGAACACAAAACTAGCAAAAACTTGCAAGAGAACAGTTGCTGCACTGCTTTGACAATCTGCTGTAAACATTTTACTATTTATAAATCAGTTTTAAACTCTTTGCTTTACACACAAGCACTTACACTGTCCAGTACATCATTAATATTATGATTTCCACTCATTTTACTTTTGTTTGTGCCAAGGCGAATCAATATAAGGTGATAGCAGGAGTACAAAAACAAAAATTTACATGTATTTTGTTTTTGCTTTGGCGGTATAAACTGTCAAAACCTGTAAGTGTGAGTAGAAATTCAAACAAAATTTTTCAATTTGATATCAGAAGCCGTGCGGCGAAACACATACACAAAATCAACTGAGCTAGTAACACCACTTTATATATATTCTTTTGACATTTATTCTTCTTCTGCTAGTAAAAATTTTACTAGCAAGAATTTGCAGCTCTCTCGTGTTGTTACGCTCTCGATTCAGTGCTCTCTTGCAAATTTTTTGGGTTATCATACACTTTTCCAGTAAAAGTTTGCAGGTTCCAGTACAAATTAGTACTGACTATTGGTAATTTTACAAACCTATTCAAATATCGTCGCCTGGATGGAAAATTGCCGGAAGCGTCATTTTGACAATTTGTGGTTTTTGGATATCTTCTTTAGTTTCCGACTAATTGACTAAAATTTTTTCGGTTATTTGGTACAAATTGCGTTAGTATTGCTGTCGTACTAAACTAATCAAGATCTTTCAAATAGAGTTATCTGTTCTTCTTTAGTTTCCGACATATTCAGCTTTATCATGAGTTTCATTTTCTAGAACCGGGTCACTTTTCGTTTGCGTGTGTTCACTACAGGTGGATGAACAAATTGTTGGCGAAATTTTGTTCGGGCGAAACTCACGATTAGGCTGATTAGTAAAAAGTATGGTTAATTTATAAAAATTGTTATCACATTTTGGCGTATATCACTAAAACTGACTGCAAATTTTTTGACAAATGTCGTATACGACAAAATTTTATTAAACTCATAAATGGTTGACACTAAACTAAAAAAAATATGATAATTTAAGAATTTCATGAACTAGTACATAGCATTCTCAGACACTTTGGAGAAAATCTGCAGTCGTGTTTCTGAGAAATTGCATTCCAAACTTCAATCGTGAGTTACCGAAAGTAACTTGTGACAATCTTTTATCCACGGATCTACATAAATTATAATTGTCATTATTTTCGCAGTTGGAGCATGATTCAATAATACAAGGTTAGATAATTATTGACAGCTGCGGTTTGACACTCCCTTACAAAAGGTTGCATTTACGAAGGACAGAGAAAGGGCAAGAATGCGATCCCTTTTTTCGAAAATGGTAGTAGAAAAGTACGCAAAGTAGCCAATTAGTAGTGAAATTCCTTTCGTAAATTCTAATATATTTGCAGGAAATCTGGTATTTTAAACGAAATGTTGAACGTAATATTGATATATCTACGTGAATTACGTAATTTATATGCTATTTAGCCGTATAAAAACTGCAAAATGACTCAAAATTAAAATAATACTACTATGAGATTGATGTAAACATCCAATGCTTATGTTTTCATCAGTTACATATGCTTCATATGCATATACAAATAAACATATTGCACAAAAGCTTATACTTTTATTTAACACCAAAGCTACACTGTTTCGATGTAAATTTGCAAAGAAGCAACACGGTGCCACTGCTAAGGGAGCGGTGCGAGAGGGACAACTGTCAGTTTATCGAACCTTGTATTATTGAATCATGCAGTTGGAGTATATGCCAGACGAGTAACAGGTATACACATACAAGGATACCTAAATTAGCGCGTTGAACTTGTATATTTATCTCTCTCCAACGCATTAATTCTATATACGTAGGTACCAACGCCTGACAAAGTTATGTCTAAATTTAATAATGGCTCTATGACAAAATATTCATGGAATGTATTCGTAGATTTTTATTTACTTCATTTCATATATTAGCATTGATGTTTTGTTTTTCATACATTAGTATTGATGTTTTTTACTAAATACCAGGAATAAATATTTAATAAAAAACTATTTCATTTAAGCTTAACCAACTTTTAGTTGCTCGGAGCTAATTTTGGAACGCTTCACGAA